CTTCCTTCGAATGCGGGGGAGGAAGATGAAATTTATGGTCGACGATTCAGAAGCGTCGGGCCATTTCAGTTGTCATGGCAACCGCTTGGCCATTCTGATGTCAGGACATTCCGTTGGTGTTGCCAAAAAAAAAGCATTACTATTTCTGGATGTGATGTTGGTTTTTATTCGAATTTCGTTCTAGAGGGGTCATGCTAACTCATTGTACCACCGATGAATTAAGGGGATGTCTGGGGGAAAGTAAAATAAGACGAACGGGAGTCTTTATGCGCCCCGAGTGTCCCACTACGATGGGTCGTTTAGGAGACTTGAAATACCTAGACAGCTGCGATATTTTGGTTTAACCAAAAGAAAAAGAAATCACTCGTGTCAGGAGAACGAGTTACACGTAAATTGAATGCTCGTTATAGAACACTATTTTTTTCTTCTTCTTCAAACTGTTCTAAATCTAAACTTTATCTCGTATTTTTATTTTATTTTTTGTTCGATATTTTTTCTGCTCTATTTTTTCTCCTTTATACAGTGTGCACATGTATATATTTCATGTTTAATTTGTCTTATCCTTTTTTTTTTCAATGAATTTTTTAAAAAATGTAATTTTTTCTTACCAATATTTTTATTTTTTTGTTACACGAACCTTTTTAATTTTTATCGTTTTCTTATCTTTTTTGTGTGTGTGTGTGAATGATTTGTCTTGTTTTCTTTGTTATGCTGTTTGTTGTTGTTGTCGTAGGCCAGATGAGCACTGGGGATGCGATTGTTCTTGTTCTCCAGTGGCCTCATTTTCGGTTCAAATATTCAACTTCTGCCATACGTCATCCTTTATAGGGTGGATCCATTCATACATCCATTCATTCATCCACAGATCGTAATTTTGATCTGAACCAGTGAGCGATCAATCTCCAATACAGTACCCTTAGAGGTATAATTTGTTACTGGAAAATAGAGAACTTTGTGACCCGACAGACTTAGCGTGTCCTAGTCACCCTTTATTACATCTTCAGCCTTTATATATACATATGTATAGTACGCAATTTGAATTTTGTACAGTTACAGTAAAAATATTTAAACAATGATGAACCTTTTTACTATTAAATCAGCTTTCGAACTAAAAACACAGGTGATTCAGCACTCCACAATATTGATATTGTTAGTGAATTTTTAACTGGAAAGGAAGCTATTTCTTTATTAAAAATTTTGCCACCATCAAAAAATAGATGAATGTTATGTTATATTTTTTGCATGCATTTTTGAACTATTTTTATGTTTGAATATTCAGAATTATCCTTAGTTAAACTCCTTAAACTCTTAATCAAATGTTTAAATCATAAATTTCCAAACCATTTTAAACTAAAAACTAGAAGAATTCCTGTCTAAAGCTCGAATAAGTTGTCAGTTTACTATCCATAGTTAATTAAACATAATTTGTAATGATTAATATTCTGAATTAAAAAAAATAATAACTAACGCAACGACAATGTGCAAAATCATCTGATTAGAGATCATTTAATTTTGTTAATTAGACGCTAGATTTTGGTTAGAAGTTATTTTAAACCCTTAACTGGTCATTTGCGTAATAAATATAAAAGATAATTAATTAAAAAAAATAATTATAATTATATCCCTTTTAGCGACGCTTCTCAAACGCAATAACAAACTAAGCTCATCGAGCACCATAAAAACGCAATAACGCAGCTCATCAGGCCATCCATTTCCCACAAATGAATTATCATGAATGCCACTGTGTTTGACACCAATAAAACTTTATGAATACCACTATATATGCCACTAATGAAACTACAAACTCTATGAATACCACTATAATTATGCCGATAATGAAACTCTATAGATGCTATTTTATGTGTGCTACGAATGAAACGTAATGAATGCTATTTGTATGCCACCAATGAAACTCTATGAATACCACTTTATATGTGCGTCCACTGAAACTATGAATGTTACTATATATGCCACCAATGAAACTATAAACTCTATGAATGCCACTATAATTATGCCACCAATAAAACTCTATGAATGCCACTATATATGTGCTTCCAATGAAATTATGAATGTCACTATATGTGCCACTAATGAAACTGTAAACTCTGTGAATGCCACTATAATTATGCCAATAATGAAACTCTATAAATTCTAATTTACGCGTGTTGCGAATGAAACTCTATGAATGCTATTTATATGCCACCAATGAAACTCTATGAATACCACTATATATGCCACTGATGAAACTATAAACTCTATGAATACCACTATAATTATGCCACTGATGAAACTCTCTAAATGCTAATTTACGTGCACTACGAATGAAACGTTATGAATGCTATTTATATGCCACCAATGAAACTCTATGAATACCACTATAATAATGCCACTAATGAAATCCTATAAATGCTAATTTATGTATGCTACAAATGAAACTAAAAGCTTTATGAATACCACTATAATTATGCCACTAATGAAACTCTATAAATGCTGATTTATATGTGCTACAAATGAAACTCTGTGATTGCTATTTATTTGCCACTAATGAAACTATGAATGCTACTATATAATTTATACGTCATCAATGAAACTCAATTAATGTCTTTATATATATGCCACCAATGAAACTCTATGAATGCCGTTATATGTATATGCTTTCAATGAAACTATGAATGTCACTATATTTGCCATGAATGAAACTCTATGAAACTAATAAATTAGTTCAATGAAACAATTTTAAAACTTTTACTATCTTTTCTTCAATATATAAGACTAAATATAGGAAAAAACTTAAAAATTTTTTGGTTGAACTAAAAAAATATTTCCTTCAAAATAAATTTAAATTCCTTTATTCGCTCATAAGTTCAACCGAATGTTGAAAAATTTTTTCTACATTCACAGAAGCAATTATGATTTTTAATAAAATGGACCATGTGAAATGAAATCAAATGAATAAAAATCCTTATATTTGCTGCAGTATACTCAAAATAAATAAATAAATAAAATAAAATTCTTTCTATATTTGACTGAAGTAATTTTTAGTCCTTATGGTATTCATTGAGTTTAAACGACCTTGGAAATGTCTAGATAAAATTATCCTTTATCAAATTAGTTCCCTTAATCTAAACAAATTTAAAATCCTCATTCAGGGAGTCAACAACCGAGAAAAGATTTAAAAATAATGGCAGAAAAAATATTAAAAGAAAAAAATTGTTTCGTATTATTCCTATCTACCAAAATGCTTTTATAAATTAAATGAAACATATCTAAGTCTTAAAACTAAGCAACTTAATTACTAAATTTAAAGTAAAATCGAAATCTTTATTTTTGTAAATTTAAAAATCTTATCGAATTTGTTCCTATGTATCTCCGTTCAATCCTAACCGATTAAGAAATCTTACCAGATTCAAATCTGTTCCTTTATAGCTCCGTTCAATCAAAATGAATTTTAAAATGAGCCCCATAATTATTTCTATATACTTCCGTTCAATCACAACCAATCTAAAAATCTTACTCATTTTGTTCAATCACAACTCATTTAAAATTCTTATCACATTTGTTATTATAAATCTCTCGACCCAACCGAAATTTCAACCAACATATACCTTTGATCTATAAAAGCGAATTATTCAAAATACCCTAGCATATTTGTTCCCTTATAGCTCCGTTCAATTAAAACGAGTTAAAAAAAACTTATCATATTTGTTTTCTTAATTCTCCGTTCAATTAAGTCGAATTTAAAAAAAAAAAAAACACTTATCATATTTGTCCCCTTATAGCACCGTTCAATTAAAGTGAACTAAAAAAAACATATCATATTTGTTCCCTTCAGTTCAATTGAAGCGAGTTAAAAAATAAAAAAAACTTATCATATTTGTTCTCTTAATTCTCGGTTCAATTAAAACGAATTAAAAAAAAAACCTTATCATATTTGTTACCTTATAGCTCCGTTCAGTTAAAACGAACTAAAAAAAACATATCATATTTGTTCCCTTATAGCCCCGTTCAATTAAAGTGAACTAAAAAAAACATATCATATTTGTTCTCTTAATTATCGGTTCAATTAAAACGAATAAAAAAGAAACCTTATCATATTTGTTCCCTTATAGCTCCGTTCAATTAAAGCGAGCTACAAAAAAAAAACACACACATCATATTTGTTCTCCTACAGCTCCGTTCAATTAAATCGAATTTTAAAAAAACCATATCTTTTTGTTCCCTCAATTAAAAAATTTATATATATNTAGATATATATATATATATATATATATATACAAATTTGTTTTCATTTAGTTTTACTCAATCACAACAAATTTAAAATCGTTATCATATTAGTTCTTATATAGCTCGGTTCAACCACAATTTTAAAAACCTTATCATAATTGGTCCTATATAGCTCCAATCAATTAAACATATTCACAACAGCACATATAAACATATTCAAAAAAAAAAACAAACTAAACTTAGAACGCCAACCATGCAAATTTACTGCAAACTTAAGAAGATGTTAAATGGAACCTCGTTTTTGCTCGAATTGAACTATAGTATCGGATCATCTGGACATTTTTACAATAGTGTGAACCCTATCAGAAAAACTGAGCAATATTCTCCTAGAAAACACCCTTTTATAAATGGTATTAAAGGTGATTGCACTTCCCTATTAGTTCCCCCTCCCCCCCAACATAGTAGCTGACTTACCCTCATGTCCAATGAGGGGGGGGGGCGAAAAGGAACAAGGATTAAACCATCCCGTATCATCAGGGTGCACTGTTTCGACACCACCACAAACTCTGCCCTAAACATTTATACTCATTTGTTCTTGCAATTGACGAGGCACACACCAGAACTTCTGTAAGCATCCGTAAGAGAGACTTCCCCATTGGCTCTAATATCTGTCACTCACCGGCTAATCTAACCAATAAAAGGAAAGTTTGAGAGATGGAAGGTTGCCGTTCGTCGATTCAGAAGAGGCAATCATAGAGTTGAGGGCGTGGTCTATGACTACCGCCGACTGTGAGCGACTCGATCAGCCGGCAGTCGAATGGAGTGAATTTACGGATCGCACACAATCTATTCCCGTCTATCGAGTTTTTCGCCGACCACGTTGGAAGAAGAAAAAATAAATGAAAAATTATTGTTTCTGACGCTGCTGATTTTTATAATCGACATTTGTGCTGATCTTTTTTTACTACTCACAAATCGGGTCTTATAGTTTGGAATTCAAATAGCTTCCGATTCGTTTATTTCGACGCAAAAAAAAGTGGAAAAAATTCTAAAAACGAAAACAATATTTTCTGATTGTGATATTCGATTGTTATCCTTATTGCAGACCCAGAAAAAATATTCATATTGATGAATCAATATTGCGTTCGTAATTGCATGGCTTAATGAAACGAATTGACTTCAGAAACCTAGTGTGGTAAAAATAAATAAATTTTTAAAAAAAGAGAGACACATTGTATGGACTTCTAATGGATTTCCTGGAGAACCGGACGACCGGACATCCATACGTATGACTGTCCATCTGTCTTGAAAATGTCATGTCCCCAATTTGGTTATAACGGATCAACTGCAACCACCCAGGTAAGCATTTGAAATATATTTGAATTTAATGTTTCTTTGTAAAATTAATCTCGAAAGAAAAATAGTTCCTTTCTTCATTATATATTCCATTTTTTTTTCTATCCATCTTTTTTTTCGAGCTTATATTTTCTGGGGCTACATATATGAAAATCTACTTTACTGCACATTTTAATTTTTATCTCCTAACATCATTTAACAGGTTTTCGAATACTTGAAGCTTACTAGTTCCCATTTTTTCTCGTGTATTAACTAAAAAAATTGGTTTTTGGGGTGATCAGTTTTCAAGTAGCTTTTAATCCCCCTGTAAATATTCGTGTAGTAATTGATCATGTAGTAATAATTCGTGCTGCAATTACTATAGAATTTTACTTTATTTTATTGATTATATGGTAATAATTCGAGTAGCTACTTATTTTATTTAGCATGATGTTAGTTTCGGAATTAATTGACATATTTATTGAAATATTTGCTATTATGGTAATCTTAATTCCTGCAGCCTTTAGTTTGAGTAGCCATTTACTATGCAGTTGTATTTCCAAAGATCATTTATTATACAGTCATAGCTTTTACAGTTTTTGATTACATAGTAATAGTTATGATTGGTTACATAGTAATTGCTTTTGACTACGTAGTAAGTAGCCATCTATTTTGCGAAGTAAAATACTAGTTCCAGTTTTCTTTGGCATATTTATTGCATTTACTTTGCTTTGCCTATTTAATATAGCCATCAATTTTGTTTAGTATGATACTAGTTCCTGTTTTCCTTAGCATATTTATTAAAATATTCATTGCAAAGTAATAGGTAAAATAGTTATAAATTCTGTATAGCATGGTACTAATGTACTAATTTCAGTTTCTTTTTACCATATTTACAGAAATATTCATTAAATAGTTATAGTTCAAGGAGCCATAAATTTTGTATTGGCATATTTATTGAAATATTGATTATATAGTTATAGTGAAAATGGCCATCAACTTTGTATACTATGATACTTGTTTCACTTTCTTTACCATATTGATGAAATTTTGATTACGTAGTAATAGTTTAATTAGCCATCAATTTTGTATAGTATGATACTAGTTTCAATTTCCTTACCATATTAATGAAATATTGATTACATATTAATAGTTTAAATAGCCATCAACTTTGCATAGTGTGATACTTGTTTAATTTTCCTTACCATATTTATTAAATATTGATTACATAGTAATAGTTTAAATAGCCATCAACTTTGCATAGTATACTGTATGGTAAGAAAAATGAGACTATATTGCATATATTAATAATAATATACTAGTCTCATTTTCCTTACCATATTTATGAAATATTGATTACATAGTAATAGCTTAAATAGCCATCAATTTTGTATTGTATGAGACAAGTTCCAGTTTCCCTTAGCATATTTATTGAAATATTGATTACATAGTAATAGTTCAAGAAGCCGTGAATTTATAGTATGATACTAGTTCTAGTTTTCCTAGCATATTTATTGAAATACTTAATACATAGTTAAAGTAGCTACACATTTTTTATTGCATGATAGTATTTTACAATATCCCTTAGATTATTTATTGAAGTATTGATTACGTAGTAATAGTTTAAATATCCATCAATTTTGTACAATATGATACTAGTTTAAGTTTTCCTTAACATATTTATTGACATATTGATTGCACAGTAAAAATAGTTCATTTAGCCTTTAGTCACGAAACAAAAGGTAGTAGTATGTAATAATAATAATAATTCATGTAGCCATTTAGGAATTATCGGTTATCATGGTGAGTGGGTCATGTCCATTGATCCGAGAAATAATTAATGTAGCCATTAATCATGCAGTAATTGTTCATGTAGCTCTAAATAGCATAAACATATTGTCAGTAATTCATGTAGTAATTCACAGGTAGATTAATCTCATAGTAAAAGTTTTAGTGATTCACATAGACATCGACAAATTGAATTCGGAGACAAAATATTAAGACATAAAATTTTACTTTTTCGATAAGTGTTTTTATTAGAACAAAATTCTAATAAAAAAAAACAATTATAAAGTGCTGGTGGACAGTTAATTTGAATCTATTAAATCACGTAGTAAAGGTTCATATAGCCAGTATTCATTTAGTAATTCACAAGAAAATTATTCTCATCGTAAAAGTTTTAGTGAGTCACATTCAATTGACAATTGAAATTCGAAGACAAAGTTATTAAAAACAAGTTATGATTCAAATATGGCATGGTTCATAAACAAGTGTCGCACTAATTAGAATTCATGTATGAAGCTTTTGAGTAATTAGGATAGAGTATTAAATTTTTGAATAATTGGGAATAATGTACGAAGGTTTTGAATAATCGAGATTAGCATATGAATATTTTGAATAATTGAGATAAATGTATGAAGTTTTCGATTAATTGGGATTAATGTACGAACCTTTTGGAACAATTGGGAATAGTGCATGAAATTTTTTAATAATTGAGATAAATTTATGAAGCTTTTGAATAATTGGGATTAATGAATAAAGTTCATGAATTATTGGAATAATGTATAAAGTTTTTAAATGTAATATTGTAGCATACATTTACAATATTTAAGAAGTATATTTTGAAAAGTGAAAATCTAAATTAGTGAAGCTTTTTAAGAAAATCATCATTTCTTAATCAAAAAAATAAGAGCAATTAATAATAAATTTTGAATTGTATTGAAATATCTGATTTTTCGTGCTATAAATATTCAGAATATTAAAAAACGTATTCATCTCAATTTCATTTTAATGTTTAGCACGAAGGGATATAGGATATTTTACATTAGCTTAATATTAATTTGAAATACTTTTAAAATGATATTTATTCGATTTGCATTTGAAACAAGAGAATAATTAATATGCAAAAATAATTGTTTTGATTTGATTTGAAATCAAAATAGAAAGATTTAAATATTTTTTAAAAAGAAAAATAGAAAATGGCAACACAAACTAGCATATGTCAGCAACAAGTTAAAATAATAAACCGTAATTTAACTGGCACATTAATCAGGAAAAGATAGCTATCTCTATTCTAAACAAATATAAAGAATGAATTGAATTTATTACCACTTTTTTGTATTATATAAAGGGAATTATCTATCAATTTTTTTTAATTATCTATAATTTTTTGAATTATCTATCCATTTTTAAAAATTATCTATCCATTTTTTGAATTATCTATCCATTTTTTTGGATTATCTATTAAATAATCTATTAATTTTTTTAATTAACTATCCATTTATCTAAGTGAAGGATGAATCTTGGAACTGGTTTTGAGTGGATATGCCAAAGTTTTATGAATTTAAAATTTTGGTGTTAATGTTTTACTATCTGGCAACTTCCTTTCATTTCATAATGTTACGTTTACTCCCTTTTTTCTCTAATTTTTCGTTTATTACCGAATATTTCTGTACTACTAATAGTATGACCTCTCATTACCTACAATTTATTCAAAATTCAATTTTACTACTTAACAAAATATTATGCAATAAATTATTACGTTTAAAATCATTACGCTTTTACCCCCACGTTTCGTCCATTTACAATGGGGCGTGTAAAACTCATTTTTATTTTCTCACCATACTTTGTCTCGAATATTTAAATAGTTTAAAAAATTTTTTTAGTGCAGTGACAACTTTGGCAACAACGTTTGCCTGCTACCAACTGATAATCAAACCCAACTAACTATTCCTCTCTAGAAAATATGCTAAAATAAAAAAAAAGCAGAGTATGTGACTTTAATAAGACATTTATGGGAACGTGTTTGGAGGTTGATAATTTTTTTTTGCCTAATTGTTCATATTATGTTTAAAAAATGCATTAATATAAATTACGGTACAGATTGATCAGAAATTTAATTTTTATATTAAAATGTCAGAGAGAACTGCATATTTTTTATCAGAACCACAATTTGATTTAATAGACTAAATACAAACTTTATTAGATTAAAAAAACGATAAATATATATTTATATATTCAGATTTCAAAATTCAAAAGTAATATTAATGTATACGATAAGAAATTGTGTAATATTTTGACATAGAATTTATAATAGCTTGATATCAATATATACAATTGTATGATTACTAGTTGAATATAAGTTTTTTTTTAAATTTATTTTTGTGCAATATATTTCTGAACGTTTCATGTTAGGTGTTTCTTAACACTTAGTCTGTGATTTTTTACGCTTAGTCTGAGAAAATTTTGTCCAACGAAAGTTATTTTGCACTTTTAAAAACACTTTTCAAAAATTTTACACTTTTCAAAACACTTTTTTCATTTTACACTTTTTTCACGAAAAAATTTTACACTTTTCAAAGTGTAAAATTGTCATACATATGATCGATTAATGATAAAAATTAACGAGAATGAGCACTCGAATGCAAAAGGTGGGTATTTTTAGATTCTTTTAAAAAATTGCTGCATAAAATATTTGAGGTAAGAAAAAAGAGAAATACCATATGATATTAATAACTTAGAAAGCGTTAATTAATCAATTTATGTGTCTAAAGTGAAGGCAACACAGGTATTGAAAAAGTAATAAGTAAATAAAGTCAGCTCACCCCTTAAATGTTCTCTTAAAAGCATAGATTATTAAAATTCAGAGAAATAAAAAGTCAAGTTGTTAACGAATTGGTTATAGATAAATCTACGTTTTCATATAAAAAGATCGCTCAGTGGAAGATAAAAAGAAAATCATAAAAATTTCAAGACACCTGGAACATCCAATTGAAAATTAAGTGGTTTATCTATCTCGATTAATAAGATTAATAGATTAATGAGATTAATACATTTGTGACTACCACAATTAATAATACGTAAGAGAAAAAGAAAAAAACTACAGTTCATTTATTTGTTTTCTGAAAAAAAATAAATGTAACTAAGTTGAGCTAACTTAACTAAATTTTTTAATAGGAGCTAACATTGAAATTTTTTTTTTTAAACTTTCTTGCAGATAGTGATTCCAGATTTACAACAGTACT